CTCTTGGCCGGTGCACCTACAGCACGGTCCCTTGTGGGGTCCGATTAATAAACAGGAGGTAAAAGACAGCCAATTAACTATATAATGTTGTCTTATAAATTTATGCTTACCCTATTTAAGATGACAACTCCTAGGGGTGTTTCCGGTACCTGTCCCGACTGCCAGTTCGAAGGATTTGCAACGCGTTGAGTAGACAATTTTTCAGTCAGAAGTAATCGACTATTGTCGAAAATTGTCTGAAAAGTGGTATCGGGAAATAGGTAATGTGGAAACGTGACTAATTAATGTTGTTACGTTGAATGAGGTAAGACTGGGGACTTATAAAGATTAGTAAGGAATAAGCCATAGGCAGATTTTTGTCTATTGTTAAAAACAAGCATATTTCTGCTTGCTAAAGGACAATCTGCGTAGTCTGTTTGTAACCTGTGTGTACACTTGCGCTGAAACTAAGTCATGTGCATGACTATGACTATGATACCATTACCTATGATTAAGGATTTCCGACGGAATCCGAAACGTCAGGACAATAAAAACTCTTGTTCCAGTGATAGCTTCTTCTTCTGAACTGCTCCCTGGAACTCGCATATTCACCTCTATTGGCAATACACATACTATTTAAGTAGTTACTTTTTGCAGCATATACATTTTTAGCGGTCAGAAATAAGCTCGTTAAAAAGCCGACATCCTATCATGACTGAAATAACTTCAGAATAGACTACACGATAATCAGTATCACAACCTGAGTCAATACCGATTAGCGAAAGAGTATCAATCATCCGCATGTCGGCATGTTGCACGAATTCTGGCGCGTACTGTAGTTACACCCAGGGAGGATTCCAAATACTGCTCTCGAGCACAGTTCCCCAGAACATCTTTAAAACAAAATTTTTGATCTGATTTTTCCACTCATCGCAACAGTGCCCAGTTACTTTGCAAATTTCACAGGACGAACCTTTTGATAAATGCTATACGGACAAGCGACATATACAAAGTAGGAGGACTGAATAGGTTTTATTTGATGGTTTGCCTTTTTCAGCCAAATCGCAACCTTGCAATTATTGATATTAACAGAACATCTTAGGAAGAATATATTTTACCAAACTTTTAAATGGAAACGAAGCTACTTGAGAGTAGGCATATCTAATACGCATACGGTTTCTAGTGGAAACAAAAATTCGGAAAACAACTGAGCAGGCACTTTACGCGATGGATTCATCTGGCAATAGCATGTCATCCTTTCAGCCACTGAAGCACAATAGGTAGGGATAGTTTATAGGTATCGCCATAGTATCACATAATCCACGTTTTTTGTTTTAGGTGACCGATGATAAAATGAAAGCCCTTTGTTTGCATGTGGATATAGCATATACATTGGACCAAATGTTTAGACGAGAACCAGACGTCACAAGCAGTAAAAAGCAACCTTTTTGTACCATCTTTCACTTATCTGTAAGTATCCACGTGTCTACTCTTTCAACAGTATCATTTAATCTACTTTTCAATTGTTGTAACGACTGGTCCCTAGTAGACTAAATGGTCAGTTTTATCTGCTATTGCTACATGCAAATCAATTATTTTCTACATTACTGACGCTCGCGTCTTATAGAATTCTAGGCTTATGTGATACTATAAAATTTTTTACAAACTATCACTACCACACAATACAAGGTGGTTTAGTGACTCGGTCTCAAGAGGTACTATATTAAAAACCGCTTATAGCCCGCTAGGCATACGCTACTTCGGATAAAACTGAGAATGGTTAAAGGCATTAATCCTGTTTAGATGACAACTGAAAGAGGGTAAATATTTTGTAGAAAGAAACAGTTGAAAACATGGGCTTTTTCTGCATTCCAGAAAATCACGACTTTACTGAGGATGAATTTTGGAAACCTACAGAGCAAAGTGACTGCAATACTGAACATTTAAAACCATGGTATTCCACATTAATACCTTTCCACTCATTGAATTTACTTGAAAGTTGAATTCAAACTGTCTCTGTGGCAGACAAGTTAGGTAACCTGGGTGTTCACTTTTTTGGGTTATCGGTATTGAGGTTATGGAAAATGCAGTCACTCCAGTCTGCTCTGAACAATAGCAGTTTTCGCCACAACATGACGCATGCCCTAGACGGCATTCGAGGTTAATGCGTTTTTGTTGGGCATTTAGCGGATCACGCGGACCGAATTAACCGTGCAAAAAAGCAATCAGTTCAAAACTGAGGGATCTACAAGAAAGCCCACAGGGAATGCTGGAAACCCACTGATGAGGCGAACCCCTCGCAGTTGTGCTATGTAACGATGTAATATCGCCGAAACCTGTCTCGTATTTTAGCTTGTACTTATGCTGCTAGTATGCTAAATACTTACGTACGTTAAACTACTGACTGCCTCTTACCAGCTTGTGAATATAGTACGGTCACCACACAGTGGCTGATGGACTTCGGCCCAAATATTCATGTCAAATTTCGGTCTGTGCCTATAGGCCCTTGAATATAAAATTTCCTCTTAGTTAGAGATTAATTTATAAGGAAATTGAAAGGCTACAATCAGTGGGTTTTCATCAGTCGTTTAATTAATCATGCCGGCCGAAGTAACCGTATTGTAGGAACGAAGACTTACATTTGATAAGTTCCGTCTGAATTCGTGAACGTGTCATATAAGTTACGGCTTACATTCTCGAATATAACTACTAAAGAAAGCAATGTAAAAATTTGTGAGTAAAGTTTCGGAGAAAAGGCTGTCAGCAGAAAGCGTAATTAAATGGCGAATTGACTTACCAACGGTCTGCAAACTATAAAAATACCTCCTTATTTTCAAGGATTGAAAGTAGACTGTTGTTTCTTGCTGGATAAACAGATTACTACCATTTTATACCAAACTGTCTTCTAATCACAAAAATGTCTGCCACTTTGTTTAAGTTATTATAATCAGATACATGCGTTCTAATAAAATGTTTTCAAATTAGCGCCTTTTTGCTTTTCCTGACATATATAATCCGAAAGTCACAGAAATGAATGTTGAAAGTTTGGGCTCTTTGAGAACAGAGATGGACAAATCAAATCGAGTCTGGTCGCTTGATTCAGTCAAGAAACTTAGGAAAACCCTCGTGTTTTGGATTTTGAAATAGGTGAAAGTGAAGCCATCTGCTAACTCAACTTTAGAAATTTTTTATCCAAGACTGAAGCTAAAATATATTTAAAGTCAAATCCACGCTAGAAAGTATATAATTGTCGTCTCAAAGTCTTAAAGTACAATTTTTCTTAGCCACAGTTCCATAAAATAGCACGGAATCCATAGAAATTCGGTCTTGCGGAAATTCGTGATTCAGACTTCTCAGATCGTGACCCGGTCTACTCGATGCAAGTAAGGCTCACGGATCAAGTAAAAGATTCGTGTTATTTGGCGCAACAGATATTAATTTCATTAATGGAACAGGGCGGGGACCTGGATTTGGACAAAGCCCTCTTACCTGAGCGCGAAGCGACTGCACTTGATTCTCAGTAGTACTAAGAGCCATTTGATGTTTATACAACTCTAAGCGCAGGTCCCCAATTTGAGCCGTTTGACGAACATTCTCTCCTGCAAGCGCATTCTTCTCTGCGGTTGCTTGTACCAGCTGGGCCGCGAGGGCTTCTTTTTCCTCTTCATAATACAAAGAAAGCAAAACCAAGTAGATATTTAAAGGCAAATATTTGGGGAAATATTTCAAATCACATATTGATTTATCCGAAATAATGCAAGAAAAGGAGTATAGTTGGCAATACAAGCGAACATGCGAGTCCCGGGAAGTAATTGAGAAGAAGAAGACTCGATCGCTGGGACAATACGTTTATTCGTCTGACGTTTCGACATCCGTCGCGGATTCATCATTAGAGATGTTAGCAGAAAACCCGTTTCTGCTACTGTTTTCTGCTAATGTCTCTGATGATGAATCCGCGACGGATGTCGCAACGTCAGGCGAATAAGTGTATTGTGCCAGCGATCTAATCGTCTTCTTCTTAAGGAGTATAGTTGTTTTTAGAAAAAACGAAACAGCCATTTGCGCATGAGGAGGATAAAAGCAAGATTGAGAAGCCTACTTCAGTCCCTCTTTGAGCATTCATTAGATTTCTGTGACAAAATTTAGGCGAGATGACTGAAAACTGATATTTTGGAAATGGTTTGCATGACAGTGGATATTCATCTACGTGTTCCATACACGGGCTCATCCCTCAGCCCACACACGAAAGGCCTTAGTCATTTGGAAATCACACCAGGGACCACCGATACACAATTTAATCAGAAAGAAAATGCCACTACCTAAATCCAAATTTATAAAACCAAGTTGTCCCAGCAGTTGGGAATTGCGTTTTGTGATATCAAATAACAGAATAATTATACTGATGGAGGCTCTCGCGGAATCTGCCTCCTTCTATCTACCTTTCCCATTCAAACGCACTGGCAATGCTAGCTAAAGAAGGAAATAGAGCTCAGCCGAAAAACGTTAATTGATCGAGGTTTCAGACTATAAGGTCCGATATTTGACATTTTAACCTCCTAATAAGTTTATTTCAGAAGAAGAAGACTCGATCGCTGGGACAATACGTTTCGACGTCCGTCGCGGATTCATCATCAGAGACATGAGTAGCAGAAACCTGTTTCTGCTTCTTAAGTTTATTTCAGTTATTTCACACTCTTTTAGATATCTCCACCCTCGGGCTCTTAGCACCCTAGTCAACCTGAGGGCCAAGTCCAATCAATGAGAGGTGAGATTTGGTGCGGGGATTAACCATGCAAGAGGCCCCCATCCCTTCAGGGCCATTGAAGTGTTCTTCAGAGTTTAAGTAGGCCACAACGACGCCCATTTTCAGGATCCTTGGTTCCAAGCACTCTTCCAGTCAACCTCAAAAATATTCATATCTATAGCTAAATGCGACTGGCTCAGCTATCCCCGAATGCTTTTCTAATCCGAAAGTGCGTTTTGGAAGGCGGTCGCATAGCGAAAAACATGGTAGTTCATGAGACAAACGAATTAATAGAAACTCAAGGAAGTAATATTTTGGCTTACTTGGTATTCAAGTCAGATGTTCAAAACTCCTCACCCCCGACAAAGATGACCTATATTAAGGTTCTAGTGGATCAATCCTTAATGAGTACTTTTTACCTCAAGTGGTTGCGTGCGAGGGAGTTGGACAAAATCAATCGAGATGAACCATTAGTTTAAAATTCGTGCCGAAGTCTAATAACCGGTTTATAACGCTTCACCTAGAAGTGTTTACTTTGAGTTGGCATATTAATGTTCGCGAAAATTAGGAGCTCAAATTTCGAAAGTGGATGATCTACCAGAAAGCCCACAGAAGTTCCTGGAGGATATACTGATAAGTAAATCCTTCGCAGTCATGTCAAGTAGCGGCAGACTATCGAAGAAACACGCGTCTGGGCTGAGCTGTGAGTATGGTAACACATTTAATATTCGCCCGCTACTGGCTGCCTATTGGCAGTTTGTGGGCAGTACGTGGTTACTCTCCTAAAGCTGACAGACTTCGAGTCGAATATTAATATTACGTTTTGTACTTAGCCCATAAAATATCATTATGAAGGCTTTAGTCCTAGTTATCGCATTAATCTATCTGTTAACGAGATAAGTTTTTAAGGGCTTCGGTCATTTACTCCAAATATACTGACTGATACTGACTGCAATAAGCCTAAGTATCTGGCTGCTATTCATAATTACAGGCGTCGTATAGTATAACGTAGAAGAAAACAAAAGGCTTCCGACAAGTCGTCGTTAGGCTAAATGAAATGTTAGCTAGATAATTTAGGCGACTTATAGCAGTCACCATAACAACCAGTTTAGCACACACTGAGAGCGCTAGAAATAATGCAGCGCTGGGTGATATTTTCCATAGCAACGTGTTTTGAGGCTAACAACAAACACAACGGATTTTGTGCGCATAATCTACTATTATTGTCCTTATTCCAAACGATTGATGACAACTTTGACCACACGAAAAAACACCTTCAAGAATCAATCTTGTAGTATGTAGTGTTGAGGCCGGTAGTAAGGCTTTTAACTAGACAGATGGTGCATGATAAGTTCGCCAATTTGTTTAATTTTTTGCACGGAGGCGCGAAATATCCTGCTAAACAGTTTTGTTTCAATTTTAGTTACTTTTCAAAAAATTGGACCCAAAGCTAAAACCGCTTCTGATAGTGATAGACAGTTTAGATAAGGAAAAAGCTGTTCAGGCAGGAATTCCTGTAATCCTCGAATACTTTGAAATTTCCGGAACAGAAACTGAAGCTTTTCCATAATAATCAGGAACAAGAACATATGCAGCTGTAAAATCAGCAATGGCCGAAAAAATAATCCTCACTTACTGCCTTATAGTTGTTAGGCTATTTTTATTAGCACTGAATAATTTAACCATATTTTTGCTCACGGAACGAGCACTAAGGTAATTACTGAAAAAATATGCGTATATTGTTACGCTGGATCATAAAAGTCAGACACTTTCTGAAGGAATGTATATATTGAAAAATACCTTCAGTCTTGCGAACACGCTCAGAAAGATCCAATTGTTGTCGCATCAAAGTAGCTACATTTTGCTCCCTCCGAGTGAGCTCCTGTCGAAGGCTTTCACTAAGTGTCTTTTCTTCCTTCAAAGGACATCAAATACAAAGTTCCGTTTGTGTGGAATAAAGTTTGGCTGCAGTAAAAATAGATCTCGAAGGTGTCATTATTAATAAAGCCCTATATACGCCGCATGTTAAAAAGTGAAACGAAAAAGTATCATCTTATATTTTTACTAATCCATCATGCTTCCTTCGAAGAAAATATAACATCTGCCTCGAAAATCTCGGTTATGCATGGATGCTGCAAGTTACTTAGCTTTTGTAGCGAAATTAGAAATGCAAGAACAACTGAAAATGGAAAACACTAGACTTTCTGAATAACATATGTTTGCCTAAACAGTTCTAGTCGCTAATAATTTGAATCTTCGGGTAGTCCTTTAGCGGATTCCACATAGTTTTTTTTAGAAAAGTCTGTTTCATCGTTCAGCATACTATACCAGATTTAGTGGACTCTGTATTGACTTTACAATATTCAACTCTCGTCTTTTGTGTCGTGTGTTCACATCTCGCGTTTGCTGTCCATGTTTTTACGGTTGGATATTGGGTTACATTTAAAACAGCTCTTAAAACCCCTATATGAACTTAGTCCGTCGATAAATGTGTTTGTGTTTGTTACTGTGTCTTTCAACACAAGTATATCAACCTTAGGTGAAAATTATCAGCTGAGCTATCAAAGACTTTCAAACCAAAAACTGTAAGCCGAAATATAATCGTCTATCTCACGTGTCTGATATAAAATTGTAAGATTTTCGATGAATCTAATTAGATTAGGCCAGGGGCATATCAAATATTCTTCACGTAATTATGTGCGGATGGCCAACCATTTACAATTTTTTCAAAGACCTAAACTGATGATATTTTAACGACTTTGAGGAATACGCTGCTGCTTATACATTTTGGAAATAATGAAGAATAAACCGAACCTCTAATTGGGCCCTGAGTTCAGCCAACTCCGTGGGCAGTTTCTGCTGTAACACTTTAGCCTCATTAACCTGTTGTCGAATATGCTCATTTTCAAGTTCCAGAAGGTAGATCTGCTGCTGGAGACTTCTGATATATTCAGCCTCCAAAGATTTTGATGCATCCTGGGTTTTGTGAAGTTCACTAAGAAAGTAATTAATTAGAAAAAAGGCTCACCTTTTCAATGCATGTAGCTTTTCGGGTTTGCCACGAGAATTACTCTTCTCACGCACATCTGTACCCGATTGCGGACGTTGCATTTTTCCTCCATCACCATTATTTTTCCTGGGATTGATGTTGCTTAAATTATCCAGCTTTTTACGCGGTTTGCTTGAATCCTTGTAAAGACGCTAAAAGATATTAGTGTATGGTTAGATCTAGATTCACTGCAGAAATGCAGCCAAAAATTGAAAAGTTTTTAAAAAAAATTTCATTAGTTAACCTAAATACTTAATACAAATGAAAAACTAGCATGTGGTAATGGTTCAATTTGCCATGGGTTTTCTTCTAACACACGACATCTGTTTCCTTTTTAATATCCCAGGATAATTTGCCCCTTGTTTTTTGAAGAAGTAAATAAAAGACTCTGGTAACCTAACCGATTCTGGGTGCTTTATGAAGTCTTTTTATTCCATACTGCAAGTCAAGTTTTTGTTGGAAATTTGATTTTCCTACACTTTTGGAGGAGCTTAAAGTCTCCATTTCTAGAACGTTCGATGAAAACTACTACGACATAGACATCGCTTACCGGCAAAAATAGACAGTGTAAGCCTAAATTTAGCGCGCTAAATTACAGACATAATTTTACGTTAGACCCAAAGTAACGATTCCACCAAGATTCCAATCTTAAGAACAGTTATTGACCCAGAATTAATCATTATAAAAAGGAATGATGCCGACCAACTATCATTTAGGCGCATACACGAAGGTAGCGAATACTTAAAATATGTAATCTACTTTATCTCTTTACGTTTTCTTCAGTGGCATTATTGTAGCTTACCTTAGGTATTCTCCTGTATCTTCTGAAATATTCGCATGAAATGACGAGTACTTATGGTCCCTTTTGACAGATAAGAGTTCTCTTACTGTCTTTTTAAATGTGGTTTTGGTGGTATCAAACAGGCAGAACTTCCGAGCAGGCGGAACCATTCATTTCTGGAAAATAATAATGGGGCAGACCGTACGCGGTTCCCTAGATGATATGAGGTTTGTGTGCAGGAAGGATGACTACTGAACCAGCACTAATTCATACGCAATCATGTACTTAGAAGCTAAAAGTCACAATACCATATCATGAAACTCGTACGCGATCGGAAGGTCAAAAACGCAGATCTTCTCTTGTACTCGGTCACAACTGCCTACTTAGTACGGCATGGGCAGAACATTTTGAAAAAAATTGGAATTTCTTGTAGAGAGTGTGGACTATTGTTACTATTACTCATTCGATTCAATCAAGGCCTAAAAACCCTTTGCGAGTGAAATATTTGCTGCATAAATGCTTAATTAAGCAAAATGGAACATTCTGTTACTGCTATGTCGTTCGCATATCCAAAGAGAATCAGATCATTTAGTATAACTGAAATTTATTTTCCAAGATTGAGGATAAAATGCGTAAACAAAACATTTGCAGTATGCTGCAACCTTTCTCTACCAAAGTGTGGAAACTCTATGCAAGAAACAACCAGAGAGCTGCTGAATGAGTCGACAATTGATGGTTTTATTATTAGGATGGTCAGTCCGTCGGGGTTATTAATTATAACGTAATATCTAGAGATAAGCAGGGCAGAAGGAAGCCGTTCATAGGTGAACGAAATGATAAGCGTTTTTTTAACCAAACACTATACAATCTTCCATGCCTGTCAAGAAGACCAAGACCACGCCAGATTTATTTAGGCAACTAGTCGGAGGCAGAGTTTAATTTGACAAGCAGCATAGTCTCACAAATCATTATGTTGAAGGGTATAGATTTACGACATTACGAGAAGGGCTGTCAAGCGGCCAATAACCATTTAATGAACGGCGATTTTGAAGGTCAGTGACAAATAAAGTGAGAAACTGAATGTTCTTCGAAACGGAAGAGATTGTTTTTGTTTAAAGGGGCATCCACCGTGGCCGAAGGAATACCGTCATTTAAATGATAGTTCTCTTTATCGCTGAAACGGATTATAGTTTCCAAAAAACCATACTCTTCGCCTGCAACCTTTAACGCATTTCTGTTTATGCAAATAGTACTCATTTTCACTACGCTTAAATTAGTATCAAAATTCACATAAGAATGTGACAAAATAAGATGACGAACCTTTCAATGAAAGAGATGCTTAACTTTGGATTGAATAGAAGCTAAACGATGGGACCCGGTACACGCCGAAAGATTATTAAGAACAGTTGTCAGAAATATAAATGTTTTGTATTATTGTTTGTTTATTATTATAGTATTCTTTCTTATTCGTGTGCCTCCGTTCGTTTGTACCGTTATAAATTGCATTAAGTACGTGAATGGTTATGCCTGTTTTGGATTGTAAGTTTAATGAAAAGAGGTATTTTGCAGGTAGATTCTAGCAACATGAAAATCAAAGTTCGTCCTATTTTAAAGAAAGGACGTTTTAAGAACTTTACAAACTTTTTGGATATGGATTTGGTGGGCTTCTAAATTATGTGACATTCCAAGTAGATCATCGTAATATATTAGGTGTCCCCTGAACCAAGTATCCACGGGATGAAAATACAAATTTACATGAGTAGTTTTCAGCTTAACACAAAAAAATTAAAACTTCACAAGTCTAGCCGCATATCTGCTTATCAAACATTTAACGCTAGGATTCTTTTATAAATTTCGAATGTCGAAATAAATGTCTGAAATTGTTTCTATAGCCCTGTCAGCACACGGCCCCAGCGTAGGTGGGGCCCCAGACGGGGCTAGGCGGGGCAATCCGGGGAAATCCGGGGCTAAGAGTTAACTAATTTATTGTAAAAATTTCTCGAAATCTATTTTTTGTCAAAAAAGTATCAATAACCATTATTTTGCATCTTTTTCTTTGATGGAACAATGAAATTGGGGGTTAAAACGGGAAAACGGGGGCTGTACGCTGCGAAAATTTTTTCCGTAGGTGGGGCTTAACGGGTTGATTTGGCCCCGTCTAATTCAGTCC